AAAGGGCAAAGGATTGCTGTAGATCACAAGAGGCTTTAAGTTGGCAATTATATGAACTCTGGATTTTACTCTATGGAGGAGGAAGATGATGGAAGGCAGTGGAGAGACATGATTATATTTTAAAAGGGTCAGTCAGGCACTGTTTGGAAAATAATTGTCTCCCTGCATCCAATCTGATCCTCTACAGTCCATCGTCCACAAAGCAGAATGAATCTTTTAAAACACTGTAGAATAACCCAGCAATTCACTCCTGGACATTTACTCTCAGAGAAATAAAACTTACATCCACCCAAAAACCTGCACATGAGTTTTCAGAGCAGCTTTATAAACAAGAACCCCAAACTGAAAACAACCATAATGTCCTACAATAGGTGAATGGCTAAACAAACTGTGGGACATCCATACCAAGAAATACTGCTCAGCAACAAAAAGGGACAAACTAGAGTTGTTCCTCAGTATTAGAGGGGTGTTGGTTCCAGGAACCCCCATGGATAGCAACATCCGTGGATGCTCAAGTCCCTTATATAAAACAGTGTAGTACAATGAATACAGTTGGCCCTCTGCATCTGCGGGTTTCAGCCATCCCCTGAATATAGGGCCAACTGTATTGATACACACGACAACACGGATGGATCTCAAGGGCATTAAACTTAAGTGGGAAATCTCAGAAGATCATATATTGCATGATCCAATTTATATAACTAGAGTTACATAAAATGTACTCATTGGAGGAAATGGATGAAGGGTACCCAGGACCTCTCTGCACTATCCTTGTAGCTTCCTGAGAAGCCGTACTTCAAAATAAAGTTTTTTTTTTAAAAAAGCGTTATAGAAAAGAAATTGTGTTCCAATGGAAAACTATGCATTGTCTGCATACAGCACACCTTCCCAGTTATCTGATCCTACTCTTTCACTGTCTTTGAACTATTTTTACAACTTTGAAAGTTCAGATAACTGATAGACATGCAAACTGTCGTGTCTGGTAGAGGTTCCCTTCCCCACTCACCTACACCCCCCATGGAAAAAACAGTTTACACATGGAAAAACCATTTACACATTCAACTCATCATTCCTTTAGTCCATATCAAATTTGTGCTTTTTTTTTTTTAAACAACTTTTTTTTTTTTTTAAAGATTTTATTTTTTCTCTCCAAAGCCCCCCAGTACATAGTTGTATATTCTTTGTTGTGGGTCCTTCTAGTTGTGGCATGTGGGACGCTGCCTCAGCGTGGTTTGATGAGCAGTGCCATGTCCGCGCCCAGGATTCGAACCAACGAAACAGTGGGCTGCCTGCAGCGGAGCGCGCGAACCTAACCACTCAGCCACGGGGCCAGCCCCATCAAATTTGTGCTTTTTTGATTTACCCTCTGAACATTATGAGGGAAATGAGCAAGTTAAATAAATTCTTTAAATCTGATCATTCTGATGTCTGTATGAGAGTCATTATTTTACCCTTTCTGAAAATTACCTTTTAAAAACATAAGTCTGGTTGTGTCACTCCCCAGCTTAACTGCCTCCAAGCTTCCCAGTGCATTTAGAATAAATTCCAAATGTTTCCCCAGGTATATAAGACCCCGCACAGCCTGGGCCCAACCTGCCCCTTGGGCCTCATCTCCTCACTCTGCCCCTTGCCAGGACACCCCAACTACTTGCCCTTCTTTCAGCTGCCTGACAACATCAAGCTTGTTCCAGCCTTAATGCTCCTATATCTGTTGTCCCTCAACCTGGATTCCTCTTCTCACAGATGGCTGTTTCAAGAGTAAATTCTCAGCTCAATTTTTGCACCTCAGAGAGGCCTTCTCAAACCACTCTATCAAAACTAACATCCTCATCCTATTTTTTTCATCATAGTTATTTCTATCTGAAATAACTAGCATATAGCTAATAAATAACTACTATATATGATACATAACATACTATATTTATTATATATTATATAAATATATAACTTATTATATATTATAATAATATTGTTCAGTTAGTTACTAGCTTGTTTATTATCTGCCCACCTCAATTCCATAACAGTAGGATCCTGGAATCTGGTTCCATTATATCCCCAGTGTTTAGAAAGGTACCTACCACACAATAGACACTCAATAAACATTTGTTGAATAAATCCCTGGGTGAATGATGCTTCTGCAAGTAGTAAAGTCCCCATCACCGGAGGTATTTAAGCATTTCTACAACCACTTGACAGGGTCACAGAAAAGCTATGAGTAAAGGCTCAGTCACAAGAATAAAAGACCATGACAGTCCCTTCTAGTACTATGACCCTCTGATTCTCTGGCCACCATGCCCTTTCTGCTGTGCAACAGGAAGAGCCAAGGAGTATTCCTCAGTCATTTCCACCAAATGACAGTATGCACACCCCTGTTCCTGCTGCAATATCATCTCAGCATTAAAATGTTGAAGCTAATCAGACATTTAATTTCAAAGTGGAAGGTCATTATCTTGTCACAAAATTTTATTCCAATTACTTTTTTTTCCTATTATACAAAATGAATTAAAAGTAGCACAAAACATTGGGAGATCAAACAGTCAATCAGAAGCTCATTAAATATCATTGAAATTGGTGCAATAAAAAGCATTTCCCATGGCTGACTTATTATTTAAAAGCTATATTCTGGATGACTCAAGGAATTGACATGCTGCCAATCAAAAAATCACCCTGTCCATAAATAGCCACTTGGCTTTTAAAAGTTCACTATCTCCTTCTTTTTTTTGAGATAAGAGTAAACACCTAAAAAGATTTAAAGCATGGGTGTAATTACCATCCTATCAGCCCTTGTGAGACTCTAAAGAGAAGATATCAGCAAAGTCACTATCTGATAATTCAGACTATAATTTACAGAAAGATGTTTACCAAGTGCTATCAGTGATTTTATAAACACTTCAATATACTACAGCACATTTATATATAATACTCAGCAGAGGACAAGCCCAGGCTTGTACAAGCAGGGATCAGTGGTCAGTTACAATTTTAAAATTGAGTTCAACTCCACACTTGGAATAAATGCCCATTTTATTTTCTAAAGAGTGATTATTAAGCACTGCATTTTTCTATGGACCCAGACATACGTGACTACTAGCAAGAGGATCTGAAACCTGATCATTTTTAAATTTCTACTATTTTTCCTCTAGGAACCCTCCCCGACCCCTATTTTTTTTAAAGCTAAACCAATAATTTTAGTATTTAGTTTTATAGAAAAAATTATGTTTTGATGTATGCGATGGCAGGTCCTTTTAGTTGGTAAAACATAACAACAGAAGTACTGTTCCCAGTCTCTTAAGGTGTTTAACTTGTAAGGATGATACAAATTAAAAATACATAAGCAAAAAAGAAAACTCCCAGGTATAGGAAATTACTTCTTCAGTAGAAAGACTCAAGAATTTCTCCCCTCTAGACCCACATGCACACTGCCACCATCCCAATTTCTTTTCAAAAGCCAGACTTATTGGCAAATTATCTGGGAGTAAAGTGGGAGAGAAACATTTCAATGCAAAATTCAGAATTGCTTTATAGAAAGAAAATATGGGGAGGTTTGTTATCATTTATTTCCTCCAGTATATCATTCAATTTCAGCTGTCTCACATCTCACAAGAAGCTTCCATTTCTCACTTATGTGCCTAAGAAACATCTCCCTGGCATCTCATTCTCTCTCTCTGTCTTTTACCAGCATTTCATTATTTCTTAACTGTCCCTCACATGCTTGTCTCCCTTTTTCCTAGTGATCCACGTGTCCTCATTTAGCAGTTTTCAGAAGCCAGGGAGAAACGCTGCAAATAATGTTAAATATGATTAATATCTTGAATTCCTTGAAATATGACATGCATGAGTTACAATGAAACCTCTTTTATTTCCCCATGAAATGCTTTTGCATAATGAGAAAGAAAATGTCCTCTATGCCCTAATCAGCCCTGACAGTTCCTGGACTCCCAAATACTTTTATTTATGGCATTATTTATTTCATCTCTAATAAATGGAGCGGGGGGAACCACAGCAGGATCTGAGGAGGCTGCAGGAGAGAGGGAGACTATCTAGGGTGGAGAAACACAGAAGCTAAACCAGCAAAGAAAAGGCTTCCAAAGGAAAGGACATCTGGGAAATGAGAGGCCAAGGACCTGAACCCCCAGAAAAAGAAAAGGAGTCACTTTCCCAAGACTCAAAGGAAAGCTTTGAAAAGGAATGTAACTTCAGAGTGCAGAGATAAGGGTCACACATCAAGGAGCTGCATGAAGAATTCTAACCTGGAGAAGGAAGACTGAAGGCTGGAAACCAAATCTGGGAGGGAGTACGCTGGTAGAGTTGGCCTAGGAGTGGGGTGATTTGCTCCAAAGATTGGCTGAGAGAGGCCAGGACACTCCTCTAGAGGTGAAGACATCTCTACCCCATAGGGATCCTCCTCCAAACCACAGAGGCTCTTCTGTCACTCAAACAACTACTGAAACTGTGTGTCGTCCAGAAACCCTGGCCTGGCAGCCCCAGATGCAGTGAGGAGCTGGGAGTTCTCTGGCCACACTGGTCCTACAAGCGTATCAAATGACGTTGCCGAAGGAGCTAATCACCACCCCAAAGGGAAGTATCAGGTCATATTTTTCCCTCCATTGCACAGTCTACCTGCAATGAGAAGAAAGTGATTTTGAATTCAAACGACCTGGATGCATCTGCGCAAATCGGCCATACACTCCTGACTGTGGGCAATTTCCTCGTGGAACCTCGACTTTCTCATCTGTAGAATGGGGGAAATGATTCTATTATGCACTCTCAGGGCCCCTACAGGGAACTAAAGAAATAATGTTAAAGTCCGACGTCCTGTGCGCTCTTAGGATCAGCAGGAACTCGAAAGCCTCGTGCTGGGCATGAGCAAAACCCCAGCGCGCAGCGAGCTGGGTCAAGACCTCCAAGAAGGTTGGGGGAGCAATTCCCGAGCCGCAGAAGAACTGGCTGTAATACATTCCCCGGGCACAGACGCACTCGAGCTACCCCGCCCCGCCCCGCCCCAACTACTACCAGACCCTCTCTGCACCCCCGAGAGTTTCGGGTCACTTAGGGGGCGCCAGGAGCTCGCTTCCGAAGCCGGACCCCGCCTGCGGCAGCAGAAGCCTCAACTCCACAACTGGGGCTCCGAAGTCTCGCCCTGGCCGGAACCTCCTCCTGTGACCAGGGCGCCCTCCAGGTCTGGGCTCTCCCGTTCCCTCCCCCCGTCGGAGGCACACATCCCGCGGGCCGACCCAGAGGGCGGTGGCGGCGCCAGGCCCCGCCCCGCCCCCATTATCATTAGCAGATATTACCCTAAACACTTGCTCTTTACCTCCTTTCTCCCTCCAGGCATTGGCGAGGCGGCCTGTCAATCAGCACTCGGGCGGCAGCCCCCCGCGCGGGGGCTCAGCGATGCCAGCCTTAGCGACAGGCGGCAGTGGCGGCGGCGACCACGGCGCAGACACATACCCTCCCACAAGCGCGCACACGGCCCGAGCCGGCGGGCAGGCGGCGGAGACACCCTCGGAGCCCGGCGCCCGGCGGGGAGGGGGCGCACGAGCCGGGACCGGCCCCGAGGCGCAGCATGGAGGAGGAGATGCAGCCGGCGGAGGAGGGGCCCAGCGTCCCCAAAATCTACAAGCAGCGCAGCCCCTACAGCGTCCTCAAGACGTTCCCCAGCAAGCGACCGGCGCTGGCCAAGCGCTACGACAGACCCACCCTGGTGGAGCTGCCGCACGTCCGGCCGCCCCCGCCGCCCTTCGCGCCGCACGCCGCGGTCTCCATCAGCAGCAGCGAGCCGCCGCCGCCGCCGCAGCCGTTCCAGGCGCAGAGCTCCTACCCCTCTGGGCCCGGGCGGGCCGCCGCCGCCGCGGCCGCCTCGTCGTCGTCTCCGTCCTGCACGTCCGCCGCGTCCCAGGGCCACCTGAGGACTTCGGCGCCGCCGCCCGCGGCCCCCGCCGCCGCCTCATCCTCGTCTTTCGCCGCCGTCGTCAGGTACGGCCCGGGCCCGGCGGCCGCCGCGGGCAGTAGCGGCGCGGGCAGCGACGGCGCCAGCCTGGAGCTCAGCGCAGGTACCAACTCGGGCGCAACTTTCCTCCCCGCCTCGGCCGGGGGCGGGGTGGGGACCGGGAGGCAGAGGCTGGGGACGGCGGACACCCCCCCGCGCGCCGGGCCTGGCGGGAGGGGCGCGAGGGGCGAGCGGCGGGCGCGCACACCCCGCTGAGGCAGAGTCGGGGCGTCGGAGCGCACCCCGGAGGCCTCCAGCGCGGGCAGCAACTTCTGGAGGATTCCGCGCCGCCGCCGCGTCCGGGGCTTCCGACGGCGCGCGCGCCTCTTAACAGGTGGCTCCGCCGCTCGGATCCGGCTTGGCGCCCAAGAAGCGCCCGCCGTGGTCAGTTAGCAGCGGCGACCGTTCGGGCGGGGGCCGGGGAAGCAGCCTAGCGTGACAGCCGCCGCCGCTCCCGCAGAAGCTGGAAGTGCCCTGGCGGCTCTCGGGGACGCCCTGCCTTGACCCTCCGCAGCTTCACTTGTTTCCTTCCACTTCTTGCCTTTACTTCCCTCTCTCCTCGTTTGTTTTTCCTTCTCTCTCTCCACCCCCATTGCCTTCTGGTCCCCTTTTCTCTACCTCTTTGATGCACTCTCACTCTCGCGGTCCGCTCGGCTGGCTCTCGGGCTCTTTCCTTCCCCGTGCGCTTCTGTTTCTCGTGCGCGCGTTGTCTCGGCCCGTCTCTCTGTGCCTCTGTTTCCCCACCCACCCCCGAGTGAGTCCCAGCCGGTGGGCGCCTTGCCCCAGCCACGCGGTGGAACTGCCGCTCGTCCCTGCGGCCGACTCCGGGGAAGGCGGCATCCCGCCCCTCCCCCCCGGCCCCGAGAGCCCCAGGCGCGCCGGCCCGCCGCCCACGCTCCTCCTGCCGCGGGGACACTGCTGCCCCGCGGGGTCCCGAGCGTCTGGGCCCGGGTCCTGCGGAAATGCCTCGTGGGGAGCACCCACCCCAGGGGGCGAGACTCCTGTCCTTGACCAGGAGCTTGCAGGCGGCCGCCTGGGAAAAGCCAGCTCTCCTGCCGGGCTGCGGGGAGGAGGGAGGGCTGGTGGAAAGGCCACAGCCTGGGGCCTGCGCCCTGCGCCCAAGGGCGCTCCCCGTTCCCTGAGGGCGCGTGGCCACGTTTATCCCCTCGTCTGAGCTAAAAGTTCCTACTCAGGCCTTTTATGGCACTTTGGAGTGCATTTTGAGCCCCCAAAATTGTGCATATCGGTGAATCAAGGCTTTTTTTTGTAATGGAAATATGAGCATTGTCTCTAAATGAGTTATAGATGCCTACGCTAATGTTCTGTTGTTTGTCAATATTTTGACACATGAAGGATTGGTTTTGAGAAAGAAAATCTAATTACAGGTTATAGTGAAGACTTGTTCTGTCACATCCCTCACTGATTTGAAGATGTTTGACGGCTCTGAGTGGGGTTCTCCTGTTGGTGTCCTTATTGTCTGTGGGTGTGTTTTTCTTCAGTTGCTCTTGGCCCAGCATTCTATTGTATTTTTATGTTTATTGTTAGGCTACTCACTCACTTCCATTTTCCTCCTTATTTTTTTCTGTTTTCTCCCCTTCTTAAGAGCTTTGTGTTCTTTCTTTCCAGGTTTGGGTTCTTCTTTTCTTCTATACTACTTCTTGCACATGCCTATGTTTATTTTTCGACTCTGTTCTTCATTTTTATCTTGTTTTTCAGAAGTTTGAGTCCTTTTCCCATTTTCTGTATTTTGCTTACTCCTTTGCATAACCTCAGTTCCACCCTGTTCCTTGGGGGTTTTCCCCCTTTTTATCTGTCCAGTTCCGTCTTCAGTCTCATCCTGCTTTCTCCTTTCAGTCTTTGCTCTCTTTCAATCTTTTACTTCCTTTTGTACACTATAAATCCGCCCCCTCTCATTTTCTTTTTTATCCATAGTTTATCCCTTCCTATTTTTCCTGTATTTTTTCTTTTTTCTGCACCAGTCACTTGCTGTCCTTTCTGTGGTCCCTCCTACTCTGGCAGTTTCTCTGCTCTTTCGTTCATAGGAGTATGTTTGTTTGGTTTTGTTCCTTCTCACCTTCTTCTAAATGTTCTCTTTCAGTGTGTCTTCTGATGTCCTGTCTAGTTTATTTTATCCCTGGCCCAGGTGGAAATCACATCAGTGACTCCACAGGAGTGAAAAGGGCCTTGCTGATGCCCCTCAAACTTCCTATTTTTATTTCCTTTATTCTCAAGGCTGCTGCTTCTGTCTTCTTTTTAAGAGAGATCGTAGAGAAGTAATAAGCTTGATAGCACCAAGGGCAGGATGCCATGTCCTTGCTGGAAGGATAGGAATTGGATGGTAGGTGTCTTCCATGCAATGAGGAAAATGGTCTGGGGCAAAAATAAAAGGTCATAGTACTAGCCATCATCAACTGTGGCTATAATATTAATCATTGGTGAACAAAGCCATCTCTTAACAGGCACAGTGATGTGAATGGCCATCAGAGGGACAGTCACCTGAAGAGCTGATTGGCTCTTTGAGGAACTAGTGGTTCCACTTTGAACCAATGAGTATGTGAGCACAGCCAGCCAGCCTTTTAGGCATACTGGGTGGGGGTGGGGGTGATGATTTGTTTGTTGCACTCTCACAAAAGTGTTCCTGCAAAGTCTCAGGCCGCCTAGTAAACTGAAAATTGTCAAAAACATCGATGGGTGATGCAATGAGTCAAGGATAGAAGAAGACAGGTAACTGAGTATCCAGAGGAAATGCAGTGACCAAATGAAAGGGTTGAAGGGAAATCTTATTTGCCATTAAGGGCCGTGAACCTTTGAGAGGAGAAATATGTGCTTAAAAATACATTTTTTCAACATTCTTATAAAATTCCATGAAGAATATAATTTTCCTTAAAAGGGGTAGTATAACATGGTTTTAAAAGCATATTTTTCCTCTGTGGGAGGCTTAGAGTTAAAACCCACATAGATCTTGATATGCAGCCTAAATTTGGCATCAGGAAATGGGAAATTGCATCTTTAAGCAGAGTACAATCAAAAATGAATTACAATAAATCCTATATAATTGCATAGGTCATTCTCTTTAATGAGATTTTATTAACCTGACTGTCAAGCTTTTGAGTCAGGCAGATATTTTATCTTCTTCAACTGATAAAAGTGTCAGCTATAAACCACCATATAAATATTCATAAATCTACACATCTGTGGCAGCCTATCAGCATCATTCTTTTGGACATTAAAAGCATTCTAATTACTTTCTGTCTAGCAGAGCTGAAATGCTGCCTGTTATAGTATGTGCTTGGCAGGCATGATTGCTTTTGTTTGCCATCACAAATAGCAGCATCCTATTTTATATACCGATGGTCCAGAAAATATTCAGGGATTGACTGAGCAGGATGAATATTAGGAAGCACCATCTGGTTTTGATAGCACCAAGTATATTAACTCATCTGTTAATTTTTGACACATCATTGATTTATTTATTTAGAAAAATTGCATCCTGTTTTGCTGTGTTGATGTTTGCCATTAGGAAAAAAAAATTGGGTGGCATTTTTTTTAAAAGACATAGTTCATTGATTTAAGACAAGGGTGATGCTCCCAAAGATGCTTTCATTTTCTGACTTCTATTTTCTCTGCCATGAAGTCCTCTCTTAAAAAGAAGTTATATTAATGTTTTAAGGAAATAATCTATTTTGAATGAGCTGGAAATCCTTTTAGTAGATATATGGATCCATGATAGTAGGTCGCAAAAATTTTTTTCTGCTTCTGCATTTTTAATATTAATATATTTCACCCTTCACTGGGCTAAAATCAAAAGGTTACCACTAATCTCGACTACTGTGATCTCCTTCATAGAAACGGAATACTCTTGGGGATATGCTGTGATGGGCAAATTCCATTCAAGGCTTTACTCACAAAGAAGGACGTTAAAGTGGGGAGCCTGTGTTTGATTGCTGAGTTTCCATCCCTCTTCTTATTCACTTATCAGATTCAGGTTAGATTAAACCACTTAAATTCAGCAGAATTTCTAGAAATGAATTTTTTAATTAAAAAAATAATCATGGGTTCAGATTTTAGAATCAGACTAGGCACAATTTGCAGCATGATATTATGTCCTACCAGGCTGCTCAATAAAGCAAAATAAATTAGAGAGAAGTGGTCATTTTAGAGTGCTTTGTGATTGTGATTTATTCACGTTTGATGGTGTTTAATTTTAAAGAGGTTAGGGGTAAAGTAGGTAGGTTAAAGCCCCACTTTAAACTGTTGACTTGACTTTCTTGCCATCATATGAGTGGAGCGTTCTGTGACTAGGAAAAAAAAACAGTTTAAAAATTTCAAAATACATGTTCACACTTTGCTCAGTTAAGAATCATGGATCAGTGGCCATTCAGTTGTGTTCATATGAAGACAGAACTTTTCTCCATTTCTTAGCGATAATGGGCATCGCACAGTACTTGCATTTCTAATTAGATTCTGTCTGGAAAGTTAAAGTATTACTGGCTGCAATATGTATTAAGTGAAAAGATTTGCTGTTTTCCACCAAGTGTAGTAGTAATATTTTTCATCATACTCTTCAATGTATTGATATTAAAATATTATTCAGATATTTTAAAGTACTGAAAAGAGGAGAAATTCAACTTTAATGGTTACCATTGCTATTGTTGCATATATCAATTCTGAGAACATTCAGAATGAAGCATTTTAAAAAACTGCAGGCAAGAACTGTTTTATGATTGTAGCTGTTCTCCAATATTCTGACTGCAGTTTAATACATTATCTTTGTAATGTGTAGTATATTACGTAATGATTTTTTTCTCAGCATATTACGAGTTTATCCTTCAATTAAGAAAACAAATCATGCTTGTCCCTAAGTTAGATTTTTTTCCCTTAAAATCTATACCCTAATGTGATTTATCAATATGATTAAAACTACTGAATGTTCTTTAGGACATTGAACAAATATATTTGAGCAATTCTGTTTTAGCCTTTCCTTTCATATGTTGTTCCTTTCATCAAGGTTATGTTAAAGATATATCGGCTGCAAATCAGTTGGGACCATGCTGATTAAAATGCAAACAGTAAATACAACTTCAGGTCTAGAATGGGATTATAGGATTAAAATGAATGAAAACTGTTAGTGTGCTAGAATTGAAAATTCTCAATCAATATCATCCTTTGATTATACTAATAAAAGAAGCAAAACCCGGAAGTCAAGAAATGAGAAGGCAACATCTTAAATCTCCCCACTTGTATGGTTCAACCATTTACTTTCTTGTTTATTTGGTTTTAGTCATTGTAAAGAAATGATACCCAAATATTTGAGGTCTTTCCTTATTAAGTTTTGGGTTAAATCGTGAGCTCAGTTCTTCCCTTCTACCTGACAGCGGGGCAGAGGCATCATCAATTCCAGTGTTTGGTGTGTAAAAGATATTCCCACATCCACATCCCTTTTTCTCCAAGGTAGCAAGCCGGACTTTATCTTGGCTGTTCTTCAGCCCATCAATCAGTTCTAGCCTGAAACTATACCTGGCTTCTGGGTCTTTCTTCAGCACTCAAAATAATTGTGTAAAAAACAGGCCTGTGCCTAATATTTGTGGAATTTAGGACAAGAGTACAAATGCAGGCCCACATACCATATATCTAAATGATTAAAAGGTATGAATCTAGCTAACAAAATGTTAAATAAGATGTGTTCTTTCCACCTCACTGATAAATACACCTTCATAATGACCAGGTTTGACTTTGGCGTTTTTAGCCAGCCCATGGCCTTCCCTTCCCACTCCTGCTTCATCCTCCTCCAGGAGGGACCGCACATGCGCACGTATGGATGCCCCAGTCCAGACTGCCTAGCTCTGGCATCGTGGTCTTTCTTGGGGAGGATGACTCCAGGAAGAGGCTGACACAGGCCCTTGAAGCAATTTGAGCAGGGAATTCCTGGGTTTTGAGTCCTCACCATGGGGAAAGGGTGGGCTGGAGAAGGAGGGGCCCTCCTACCTGTCTAAGGATAGTACTGCTCCTAAGAGTGAGGAAGCTCTCTGCCAGGAGAAGACAGTCCTGTGGACTCTTAGCCTGCCTAGCGTGGTCTTACCACCCCCACCCCAGCCAAGTAAATTTGAAGATGCTGTATACTGAGATCTGCTCTTTATTTACAAGAGTTCCTGCATGTGTTCAGTAAGTATTTCTTGAGGTACTGTGCTGGCCCTGAAACCCCAGTGCACTCAGACCCACTGGCCTCATGGAATGTGCGGTCTATAATCCTCTTCTGTACTGGAGAGAACTGGCCTCTGTGTTCTGACTTGCAATTTTTTGGAGAGATTTAGGGACAGTAGCGTTTTATAGATTTGGGAGGTGTAAGGGGTGCTCCCTGTGTGCCAGGCACTGTGCGCTCTGGGCTTTACGTATGTATTCTTCTGAAATAGTTTATTTCTATTAAATTAAATAGAAAAAGGAGACTTGGACCCCCCCCCCCAATACCTTAATTACTTCAGGAAAGAATAGTAAGAGAAAAGAAGACAATGGAGTGTAAAGTACTGCATGGAGGTTTCTGAAGTGTGGTTTCATTAGTCATACATCCTGGATTTTCTGGAGAAATCGATTTCTCATCTCAACTATTCTCATTCGTTGTCGCCATAGAAACCCTCAAGCATCTCACCATTTTTCATTTTTAAAGTTTTTTGTTTTTTGAGTCTTCTTCTGAAGAAGATACAGCTAGTCAACATTTTCAGAGATGCAAGTAGCTAGTTATGTTTCTATCACAAATAATAGTTATTGGCATCTAAAATCGACAGTATTTTGTTTCTTGCCATTATTCTGGGTATTGGGGAAAGGAAATAAGAGGCATCTTCATACCACTATGTAAGTCCTAAAATGTATCTCTGTGTATTTATAAAGAGCCCATTCTGGGTGGTGGTCAGGAAAGAAGAGACTGTACCTCGTGACATTATATTTAGGGTAAATTTTCAAGGCAGACTGACAACATTAAATCCCATTTTCACAATTTGGGAGGGTTTTTTCCCTCTGTTTTTGCAGTGAATTGATTGCTTTCCATTTGTTTTTTGCTTTTTACTGATTGACAATTGACAGTTCATTTGCTTTAGAGTACGTTTACGTGAACTAACTGGCACTCTCGGCACTTGCCATTTTAAGAGATTTGGCAATCAAATGGAAGAGGCTCTAAGAAGAGGCACTTCTGCTTTTCAGATGATACTGATATACTCAGCCTCAACATTGGCCTTGACAAAACCAAGTTAGCAGATAAGTGAAAAGAAAGAATAGTGAACACAGATGTTGGATGGCACGTACAGTTTTGCTTTTGGGTCCATCATCATTTGCCTTATAGACCCCCTCTTTGTTTTCCGTTAGATGTCTTAGAGCTCTTCAAAAAGACTTTATCTTTCCTCTCCAGTTTGCATCTGGGAGCAACGTCCTCTCAGCAGGGATCGTATCAGCTGATTAATAGCAAGGGCATGAGGGCACTCCAGAAATAGAAGTAATGATTGCTGTAAGCCCTCCTGTCAATGAGGAATTGAGTCTGCAGTGGCTGACTCGATTCATTAGAGTAAGGATATTAATGAAGCCAAAGGTGTGAGTGACTTCAGACCTGTGCCGGCCAGTTAAGGCCACCGAGAGGGAAATTTCTATACAGTGCCCAGAGTCCCAGACTGGCTGTTTCCCAGAGTGAGGGGCTGGGGATAGCTCATCAGGCACCCCCCAGTTGCAGAACAACAGGAAGCTATGCATCCTGTTAAAAGTGGATTCACCGTGTCACCTCAGTTTCTGACAAAGAGTAGAAATACATATTTTTAATGTTTTGGAATATTGAACTCAAAATTGAGGACCTTACTTATCTCTTGTCTTTGGCTGTCGGTCTCTGATGTGTCTTTTCATGTGTTTCAGAGAGTCGTATGATCTTGGATGCCTTTGCCCAGCAGTGCAGTCGAGTTCTTAGCCTCTTAAATTGTGGAGGAAAACTTCTGGACTCCAACCATTCTCAATCCATGATTTCTTGCGTAAAGCAGGAAGGCTCAAGTTATCCCGAAAGACAGGAGCAATGTCACGTTGGGAAAGCAGTCCACAATCAGACCTCAGACAGTGTAGACATAGAGATGCAATATATGCAAAGGAAACAACAAACTTCTGCCTTTTTGAGAGTTTTCACTGACTCCCTACAAAATTATCTGCTCTCGGGAAGCTTTCCCACTCCAAACACCTCATCAGTCAGTGAGTATGGCCATCTGGCCGACATGGATCCTCTGTCAACCTCCCCTGTGCATACACTAGGTGGCTGGACCTCTCCAGCAACGTCTGAATCCCATGGTCACCCATCCTCTTCTACACTGCCAGAGGAGGATGAGGAGGAAGAAGAGGAAGGCTACTGTCCTAGATGCCAAGAGCTGGAGCAGGAGGTTATTTCCCTGCAACAAGAAAATGAAGAGCTCAGAAGAAAATTAGAGAGTATCCCAGGTACCCTGCCTTATTACTTGCAAGCCAACTGCAACTCATTCCTTTGTATTGTCTCATCTGTATGCATGCATGCACGTATATATAGTTTTTTATTTTTGGCCAGTGAGGTGGAAAAGTTGGAGAAACAGGCATGCACAGAGTGCCCTTAGCCTGCCAGTGCCAAAAAGGAATTTCAGGATGAGCCACTAGCCTTGTCCTATGTTTAAGCTGCAGTTTTCTTGAGTATAGGCCTCAAGACCATAGTCCTATTAAAAGATGTCATTATCCATATAAAAGTGGTTTTTAGATGTGGTACAATTAGACTGAAATAGGCCAAGTGCTGTGAACCTGAGTTTTCTTCAAAAAGTGGCCCTGTTCCTTTAAAATGACTTTTGTATTTTTAAAGACTTTGATATATGTGTTTTATTAGTCTGTGATAGAAATTAAAATGAAATGATGCCTTCGGAGGCAGGCCCCTAGTAGTACTGAACAAATGATCTCTTCTATTCCAGTAATTTGTCGCCTTTCTTGTTAAGTTTCAATCGGCATAGTCTGTTTTTAGCATGCAAACTCCCCCTTAAAGTTAATGAGCAACTGTAAACTAAAAGGAGTAGATCAAAGACAGATCAGTGATTAAGCTGATCCCAAACTGTCTGTGCCCCTGGTGAAACAGGAGGCATTGCCTGCCTCTTAGAGACACTGGATTTGCAGAGTACTTAAGTCATCTTTAGGGCAAGATCTTCTCTGGGTTCCAAAGCCATTTTTTCACTATTTGAAAAGGTACTGATTTTGCTTACATCTTTGAATTCATTCCTGCATTGCTGTGGCTTACAAAAGATATTAAGATCTTTACCTGGAACAATATTTTCAAACTTTTTAGTCATACAGCCCACTGATAAAAAATTTTGAGCATGTCTCCACCAGTGTGCACATTTATTGGTTCATTACATACGTGTTCTACTATATTAATACATTCAAAATATAGCATACATAATAAACTTAAAGGTTTTAAGGCTGATAGATAAATATAAATAGAAGTCATATTCTTTTCCTAACTCAGTGTCTTTGCACCACCCAATTTGGCCGCTGATCCAAAAAGAAGAAAATATTGAAGAAAGTTACCCACTTGGTTCATTAATATACATAGGAAGCAAAAACAAAACCCAGTGTTTAACAGTTGCCAAATCAGAAATTTATTTTCCTTCTGTTCTTTCATTTGAAAGAATTCCCCAGGGCCAGCCCCAGTGGCCTAGTGTTTAAGTTCAGCGCGCTCTGCTTCGGCAGCACAGGTTCAGTTCCTGGACAGGGGCCTACAACACTCGTCAGTGGCCACACTGGAGGGGTGGCTCACATACAAGAAGAGGAAGATTGGCACAGATGTTAGCTCAGGGCAAATCTTCCTCAGCAAAAAAATAAATAAATAAATAAAAGAATTCCCCAAATAGACCTGAAGTTTGGTTCAGAATATTTTGGAATTAGATTTATTGCAGTTATCTTGTTGGGGAGAAGCAAGAGGTGAAGTAAATCTGTTTTCTCTTTTTGCGTTTGAGCCGTGCGTCAGATGCAGTCATGGGGTCTTCCGAAGCCAGGCAGGCACTGGCTGCAGCAGAGAGAGTGGGTAGAACTCCAAAGAATGCAATGGAACCAGAGTGCTACTAGTTTCTCCAAGTCAGAGAGAGATGGGTGTGGCTAACACACTGTAGGATTTTATAGCTTTCACAGTTCTGTAAATTATGGTTGATTAACTGTGGGTTTTATCCCCAAAGGGGTATTTTCTATCTAACTTCCCATTCTTCTCTTTCTTTGGGGGAGAAAATAGTGTCCTGGAGATCAACCAACTGCAGATACTTACATCAGCTGTTCAGAACTGTGGGTAAGAATTTCAGAGTACAAGGACAGGTGACACAAATGTCCAGAGTATTATTGTCTAGTTCCTAATCCTAAATATTTGGCAAGCCATCTGTCCTCAGTGAGTCCTAAGCACCTTTGAAGTTCAGACCACCTCTTGTTTCCTGAATCCATACCAGGTGAAATATCTGTGTCAGAAATAACTCATCACTGGCCTGCCTGTAATCATTGTCTTTCTCTTCTTCCCAGAAAGATGAAAACGCTGCAATTTCTTGAGCCCTCTTGATGGCCAGACATTGAATGATATTGGTTGAAATTAGGATAATTACTTTTACCATAAACATTTCAGCCCTGTTGACAATCCCTTCGATGAACTTGAACCAAGAGCCATTTTACATGGAGAACCACGTTGCTTTTAATGATCCATACTGAAACCCAACTACATAGGTGAAAACCAGTGTGTCAGTTATGAATAGGAAAAAATTAGTGTAAAGTGCAGGAAAATATTAGCTTATTTGTGATTACTTAACACATAGTCTCATTACCTAAGGACTACCTTAGTATTGGGCATCAGGTGGAAAGTGTCACCTGAGATGAAAACTTGAATCAAAAGGAGACATCACTGCCCTCTTTACCCTCACCCCCCAGCCTCCATCTTTGGCTAAACAGCAAACCATGCTGTGAGTGACCACCTAAGAATCTACTTTTCACTCCATTAGCTATGGATTTAGGGGGGAAGGGGAGGATGGCTATTTTGAGATGCCCATTTGAAGAAAAATGTAAGTAATACTCTGATTTTGCATGTAACAAGAGTATTTTGCAAGCAGCACCTCTCGTATGTAATTTGGGATCGATTTTCCCTAAGCGATGTCACTGTTTCCTGGTGGCCCCAGTAGGTCTCTTGTCCTAGAGGCCCATACATTTCTGTGGAAGGACCTGGCGCTTTCTTCTAGTAGAATCTACACTTACGTTGTGGGATCACTCTCTTTAGAGCCAAGCAGGGTGGATGAGTGCAAAGGAGAAAGTGACGTGCAGCAGTTAGCAGGGGAAATAAGGATAGCAAGGAGATGGGGGCACCAGCCACAGGTCAGAACCAAGAAAGCCTTTCTCGGTCACGTCTCTGCCACACCAGAGTCATGCTGTTGAGCAACTCTGAGATTCTTGTTTCTTTTTTTTTCCCTAAAATAAAGCATTTATAGCCAGGAGCCATTCTTGAAGTAAGAGTTCAAAAGAAATGAGCCTATTACTCTACATGAAAAAATGATTTCACTTGAGCCACTATAAAGAGGAGGGAGAAGGTGTTAGACCTTACCAAAAAGAAAGGTTGGGGAGAAGTGTTCTTTCCAGCGCCACCTGAGAGGGCCTGTGTTATTGTATTGCTTGTGAAACGTTCAACAAAGTCTTATTCATTATCAACTACATGCAAGCAAGGAGCTTCTGGAAAGGACTCTCTAACTTCCAGTTACTTGCAGATGTAGGCAATTAGATATCTTTTTAATCCCAAGGAAATGGCATTAGCACATTTTATTTTTATTAGATTATCACACTAGAACTTAGAAAGTCTGTTTAAAAGTTATATTTTTTGAAAGAAAGTGAAAATAGGTTAAAAGAAAAAAGCCACAAAAGGAAAAGAGAGTTGGATCAGGAATACGAAGAGCAGAGAGGTTATTAAAAGAAGGAAGATGATGGCGAAAGTTCTCAGTGGAGAGGGTGTCAGGTTAGAACAGTCACATTTATGTACAAAGCTTACACTGCACTAGGGGAAGAGAACTCATAAAGAAAGGTGGGTGTAAAATACTGTATTTTATCTCGTTTAAGACCCATTGAATGTAAGACATACCAATGCTTTATGTTCCACTAAGAAAGAAGAAAAAACACTGCAAATCATAATTTCATATTATAGTTACCTTTCAACACCAAGTTTAGAGATTTTAAAATTTGAAAAGATGTGGGTCTTAGAGTCATAACACATGGTCATTTAAAAAAATAACTTCCAAAGTAAAATAATTATGATACATTTAAAATACCTTGAAATTTTCTAAGTGCCAGATATGGGGAAGGTACACCTATTGTTGATATTATTAAAAAACTGTCTACTTTTTAAAGTCTACTTATGATCGTCTCAGTTTATCCTAACTCCAAACAAATATTAATATTCCAATTTTACAGCCAAAGAGTTGAAACCTGGACAAGGTGAAGTCTGTGGCAGACCTAGGATTATAATCCAGGGCTCTTGGCTCCAGATCTGTCCTCATTATTTGTTGTAGTTGTGTTATGTAAAGTCAATGTGAACACTGAGTTAGCAAATATGGAAGCGTTACTTCTCAGGGAGTTACAGAGCTAAGTTCCTGAGCCTCTGGTCATATTTTCATCAACTGATCAACACATAACCTTGTTTTATGTGTGTTTTTATTTAGAGAGACCTTACTTAGTATATAGTGTAGGTTGAATAACATTGAATTCACTGCCAACAGCACTGTAACTCATGCTTAAAGGAAGTTTATCTAACGCCTTTTCTCCATAAAGCACATCACAGCCTTTTTGCTCTTAGGAACACTAGACAGCACTTCAGCTCTTCTTTTGGGGTCCCTTTTAAACAGTGAAATCTCCAACAAAAAGCACATAAATGCGAAAAATGTGGCACTAACTAGACCCTGAAAAGAACACTTGTTACAGTCTGAGAGCTGAGATAAGCAGCCTGAGCATTAGCTCATTCAACCTCAGCTGGGAACGCGTGTCTCAGGCAGCTCAGGGTTTTCAGCGATCTGCAGAAGTCCGCAAATGGCCACCAGGGCACCACAATGTGGATTTGACCATTACAAGTACATTTTAGCAAGTAGGCCAATTCGCACATATAGAATCTGCAAATAATGAGGATCAACAGTACTAACGCTGGGCTACAAACTAAAGAACTAACCTTGGATTGTGCGGTTCTGATCCTGTTAGTCCACAGTTGTCGTTTTCTAAGTAAGAAGGTTAAAAAAAGGTAAATCAATAATGTCAGCTTTTGGATAACTAATTTTGCAAGAAAAGCCCTTGCAGTAAATGCAGTGTAGATATGCTAGGACACTACGTTCAGCGCTCTGACCACTCTGCAAACTTGCATATGCCCAGGAGTGCCTGTGGGAAATTGCTCAGGTCAGTTTCTGGTTCTGAGAAATAGATTGATCATG